CTGAACTCCAGGACGATTTGAAGAATTTACGTGTGGATTACTCGGAAATAGATCATGCATGATCCACATAGACACTTTGAAACTGATTGGACATTTTTCGATACTACAGACATTATTGCAGTTTTGGTTGATCTAGTAGAAAAAATCAAATTTGTAAAACCTATAATTTCCAGTACACATAGTAATAAGTCGTGCATGATCCACAAACTCACATATATATGATTCGGTTATGATTTGCCAACGAAAATACAATGTCTCACCATTGGACAGACCCCAAGGAATATCTGTGTAAATACAGAACCGCGACGTGACCAACAAGTGTGACTTATGAAACTCTGGTAATTTCTCGATTATGTGCAGGGTGTTTGGTTTGAATCGGTCAAAAATTGAGAAAACTAGCGCCAAATTAACTACAACATTTAGGACAGCAAAATACGTCAGAGACGCAAAGGTTAACTTTCAAGAAAATTTGCATTTCAAATGAAAATGCATTTTTTTTAAATAATGCTTCATCAAATCTAGGCCTGTATTATTCAATAGAAACATTCATAAACTAGGGGGCGACCCCGGCGTAGTGGTTAACATCCATACCTCTCACGCCAAAGTCACGAGTTCAAATCTCACCCCCGGACAAGTCACGAATGACTCAAGAGTGTTAAAGTGACCATAATAATTAAAAAAAAAAAACATTCATAAACAACTGAATTTTTTTTCCAAAGGATACAAACGATACTCCTTTAGCTCAGTCGGTAAAGGCGCAGCTACAAAGCGAGGCTATGCTGGAGGCGACTGAGTTCGATTCCCGTTCGGTCTATTAATTTTTCGGGTTGAAAAATTTCTCTACTTCCTTGGACAGGCATAGAAAGCTCTCAAATCAATGTGAAGGTACTTCAAAGAGCACTAAGTTCAGAGCAGGCAAAATCTAATATGCTATATGCAATAAGCTTGAAATGCCATGTAGTAGTATACAAATGGTATTTTTAGGTAATGAAAACATTTTTTTTTGTCGCGGATTAGTATTTGAAGTCGCGGATTTCTTTTGAAAAATCGCGGATTTCGCGGATCAAATTTAGAAAATATTGTAACAGCCCTGTACTTGGATGACATCAGCATCTGCTCAGAAACCTTCGAAGAGCACATCGCTGTGCTCGAAGAAGTATGATGAAGTACCTCGGTTATGTGATCGACGAGCAAGGATGGCGAGTGGACGACGGAAAGATCGAGGCGATCGTACAGTTTACAACACCTTTGACCAGAAAAGAGGCACAGCGCTTTCTGGGCGTCTGCAACTGGTATCGTCGATTCATCGCAGGGTCTTCCCAACTAGCAGCTCCACTGACAGATCCAACAAGAGCAAAGAAGAAGTTCAGGTGGACACCAGCAGCGGAAGAAGCATTCCTCAAGCTAAAAGCAGCACTGGTATCAGCCCCGGTGTTAGCGATCCTGGACTACGACAAACCGATCGCCATAGCATGTGATGTGAGCGATACAGCGATTGGAGCAGTCCTCACTCAAGAAATCGAAGAAGAGGAACACCCGATCAGTTACTTTTCGCAGAAGCTGTCAGCCTCGGAGCGGAAGTACTCGGTTACGGAACGTGAGTGTCTAGCTGTGATAAGGGCAATCGAGAAGTTCTGAGGATACGTAGAAGGAGTAAAGTTCGTCGTACACTGCGATCATGCGGCTCTCAGCTATTTGAAGTCGATGAAGAACCCAACAGCATTGATGAGTCGAAGGCTGTTACGATTGAATGCATTCGACTTCGAGATCCGGTACAGGAAAGGCTCAATCAACGTAGTTCCTGATGCTTTGTCGAGGATGGTAGCTGAAGCAGTGTTCACCGTACAAAAGTTAGAGGATTCGTGGTACAAGAAGCTGTTTGAAAATGTGAAGAACAGCGGAGACCAGTATCCAGATTTTCGGATAGCGAATGATGTCCTTCTGGAGATAAGCGGAGGCACAAATAGTTGTTTTGGCAACCATGAAAAATAAATGATCTTACTGGCATGCGTGAAAAAGTTCATGCCATCATAGAGCTCTTCTTTGGGCAGTTTTGTTTTGTTTCGGGCGCAAAAGTTCAAAATTAAGTGCAGAGCAAATCTTTGCAACAATGAACCGAGGAATGGTTTGCTTTATCTTTCGTTCTTCCGTTGTCTGCGAAATAAATCGGAATGTGGAATGTGGAAAGCGTTTTTTGCTTTTAATTTTAAAATACTTCTCAATTTTGCGAACAAAATTACATCCATTGATGTAATATTGTATCTGCTTTTTGCTAATGTATGTATGTATGTAAGTAGCCACCATCCTAGCTTGGGTCTTGCCCTGCATGCGGCTCCACTCAACAGCAAGATCAAATTCCGTCATCATTCTGAATTCAACATACTGCTGTATGAAGGGCCAAAAAGGGTTGGACGGGCCCGTAAACAGAGGCACTTACGCGAAACCCGCGGGAATAAGAGAATCTCCTTCCAACAAAATGAATAACGAAATTCGCAATGCATGTTAAGCTTTCCACAGGATGATTTGTTTAAGAAGAGCGCGTCAAATTCATTGCAACTGTTGGAGTGAAATGTAACTATCTAAAATGACAGTACACATTCCCTCCTAGACTCCGGTTGGCACTCCACTCCATTGTCCAGTTACAACTTCAATGATGCCCTGATGCTCCCTCCCGTCCCAGTATTTATTGTAATTTACATTATGAATTTATATATAATCATGTAATATATAATGTATATAAAATACGTAATAAAATAAAAAATATAATAAAAAATAAAGATGTTTTACAAAATACAAATAACCTAGATTATTGGGTCCTATACACACACTTTTTGTTTTATGTGCCATGAAATGACATAATGCATCATTGTATGTTTTGAAAATATAATACTAAAGTATTGAATCAATAGACCGAAAATCGAGGTTATTTGGACATGAGACATTATATTTAAAAGGATACTACCAAACCGACCATCAAACGCACTGCCCACAAAAGCAGACACGTCCCCTCGAAAATGCAATCGAGAAATGTACAAGAACAATCCTCAACTGGAACGTACTCACCAAATCAATATATCCGGGAGCGCATTCCCGATGTCGTCGAACGGCAAAAAAAAGGGAACTCGGTGAGCAAATTTGTGATACGGAATTTTCACTGAAAACAACCACGAATTTCACCACATCCAACTGCGAAACACGTTCAGAAGCACTTTTGGTACACTTTCGATATCAATTTCTTTTGATTTATTTTTTTATTTTGCTAAAATAGTTGCAAGTGTACCAACATCAACACCAATCGTGCCAAGCTTTACACGCACCTTGCAGCGCGTACATAAACTGGAATTAAAATTTTCACTCGCCATGCCACAAATTTCTGGTCCGGGATAAACAATCAAACCACGCAGCGCCACACCTTCTGATGCTTGTTATTTTGCAAACATCATGAATCATGTTTTCTTTCTCGATTCTAAAACTTCTCGGAAAGCGAGAAAACTACCACTCACACACGTATAACCGTCCGGGAGGCAGAGTGCCAGCGCTAATCCGGCAAATGCAGCCGAAAACTATGAAGGCGAACGCACGCACAAAACAGAGAACAAACACAACCTTATCCAAAGGGGTTCCGTGCGCGACTGCTTTGTATCTGCTTTTTGCTAATACATCATTATTTCTTGAATTATTGCTGATTGCATCTGAAACTGGACTGCCACAAAAATACAAAAAGTGTGATAAAAGTGCACCTTTGCGTCAAATCGTTTTGGTGTCTTCGGAGCACTTGTTGCTTGCATCATAAGAAATAAGTGCACGGAACACACCAAGAAGATTAGACGGAAGCTCGCACTTTAATCACACTTTTAAATAAGTGAAAACGCGCTTACTAGTCCAGTTTGGTGCGAAATGCGCAATACATTGATCGATATTACATTTTTTTTTTGCTGTGTACTTCCCGCTGAAATGAGCATGTTCGACTCAATTTTGAGTTGTTGCGAGTTACCGTGCACGGAAACCGCAAAATACGCAAAAATGACTATAAAGGACTCAATTTTGACTATAAAGTATGCATATTCGGCTAAAACGGGACTACACCTAAAATGTGTGTATTTTTTACACATTTTATGAGTATCTGGAACTCATAAATGCATAAAATTTATTCATTTTTGTACTAGTAATTACTCATAAATGTGTAAAATTTTACTCATTTTGTGGGTAGTCCCGTTTTCATTCAAATATGTGTACTTTATAGTCATAAAAGAGTTTTTTGCGATTACCGTGTGTAGTATGTGCCGACTAAACGTCATAAAGCTCTCCATACACGGTCAACTGCAGTAACTCAGCGACTAAATTCAATTGAATCAGGGTATTTTATTTCCATACGAAATTTACTCATACTTGGAAGAAACTGCAGTTACTCATTAGCTATGAGTAACTGCAGTTTTTTTTTTCTAAATATGAGTATATTTCGTATAGAACGAAAATGCTCTGAGTCAATTGAATTCAGTAGCTGAGTTGTTGTAATTATACCAAAAAATAGGTAAATATGATTATTCTCAACGTGGGGTTCCCACGGTTCCCACACTTTACTACCCCTGTTGGGTGGTTTTGCTCCTCCGTTTTTGACAACATTAGTGGCTGTAAGCGGTATTATGGTATTATCCTCGGATTAAATCCCGATCAAGAATGTCCGGCTGCTTTGATGTCGGCATCAGAGTTATTCAACACGATGCTATGCAAACAATTCGCAGATCTTTCAAACAGGGACGGTATTAAAAGTTAATCCGAGTTATCGCTTACCGCCATAGAAGGAGAAAAGCAGACAAACTAGTCAAAAGTAGGTACAAGTGAACTAACCGTTTTGTATTTTTTTCTTACCGTGAAAGTTACTTTGTTTATAAACAAAAGTCATATTGTATACCAACGATATTTTATCTCCATCCATTTTTTTTTTTATTGGCATTGAAATTTATTTTATTCGTGACGATAAATAACCCATCAGTTGACAAACTTTTCTTAAAATCAAGAAAGCGTAATGTAATTTGTGGTAATATGTACTCTATTTAACATAATTCAAACTTGATTTAACGAAATTGATAAAATTAACAAAATGGATTCAACCATCCGAATGTGTCGACTTTGCCTGGAGTACGAAAAACCATCGGTAACATCCATGCAAGATAAAAAATTCCGTGCCAGATTGACTACAGTTTCCAACTTTTTGGTAAGCAACTCCACGGATTTGTGAATTTAAAATAAAAAAAATAAGTCAAATTGTTCTAATGCTTTAGTTCGAGGAAAATGAACAACTTCCCTCCGCGGTGTGTTCGGAATGTTCCAAAAGAGTCAACCAGTTTTACACATTCATGGAAACCGTTCGATGCAACCAAGAACAGCTTCAACTATCGCTTCCACCCACTCAGGTGAAGAATGAGATATTCCTGGAATCGTCATACGAGGAGTTCGAATCTCCAGTGAAAAAGGAAGAACAGTCACCCGAACACAAAACCGAAACGATGGACGTGGAAGTCGAGATGCATGAAGACCCAACAATTGCAGAGAAGAGTGAACCCGAGGAAGAGCCAGCATCGTCTTTGCCGATCAAAGATGAGGAACGCGTAAAAATTACAGACGAGGATCGTCTAATCAAGGAGTTTTTCTCCCTGAAGTGCGATACGTGTTCGGAGTCGTTTGAAACCTTCAAGCAGCTGAAGACGCATGCAAAGAAGGTTCACAACACACAAGCGGTGCTGCAATGTTGCAACAAAAGTTTTTCCTTCAAACGGAAAATGCTTTTCCACATCAATAATCATTTGAAGCCGTGCAAATGTGACGAGTGTGGCAAGGGTTTCCCGGACAACCAAACCCTGAAAGTTCATTACAGCGCCAGGCATATGAGCAGCGAAGAGAAACCATTCAAATGCGAGAAATGCGCTCGATCTTTCCAAACGGAACAAATCCTCCGGACACATCTTCGACGACACGACCAGATGGACTGTCCAATTTGTAAAAGGAGCCTTTCGAACATGTTCACTTTGAAGAACCACATGGCGGTAGTACACAACGACGAGAGGAAGTTCATGTGCGACGTTTGCGGTAAGGATTTCAAATACCGTGGAGGTCTGGACTCGCACAGACTGATGCACACGGGACTGAAACGAGAGGACGGAGCCCGGTGCGAGATCTGTCACACGTGGATCAGCAGGAAGAAGCAACTCCGAAGACACATGATCGAGATACACCAGGCGAAGGAGGTCACCTGCGACATTTGCCACAAGGTTTACCCGAATGAGAAATCCTTGACCACACACAAGGGTCGAGTGCACGTGGAGGACAAATTCGAGTGCGAGATCTGTGGGAAACGGTTCAAGCGGAATGTCTACTTGAAGGAACACCGCGCGACCCACACGGGTCAGAAGCTGTACTCGTGCGAATTTTGCGGCATGGAGATGAACTCGAATGCGAATTTGTACTCGCACAAAAAGAACAAGCATCCAGAAGAGTGGCTGCAGGCCAAGCAGAAAGCGGCAAAGTTTACAGACTAAGGCGACAGGGCTTTAGAATCGAATTAAACTTGTTTAATAAATATGTATGAACTATTAGTAAGCTTTTTACAGTCCCAAGGTATGCGATCAGCAAAATCTATTTGGGTAGAAAGCGAGTGGTGGCTACCCAGCGTGTATGTTTTCAAGTAAATTTGACGTGAATTTTTTGTTGAGTTTTGGTATGCACGCTATTCCAAAATTACCCAAATTTGGGTAGAATCCACCCAGATTGGTCAAAACTGAAACTACCAAAAATGGTATGTTGTGAATGCCAAGATGACAAAAAACAGCGTCGATCGGATTCATGTCGATGTTGTCCATTTGTCAACTTGTCACTCCCAACACAGTTTACCCATTTTTGGGTAGGTTCAGTTTTGACCAATCTGGGTGGATTCTATCCAAATTTGTGTTGTTTTAAAATAGCGTGTGTCGATTTGTTTGAAAACAAACACCATGGTTGTAACTTTTGAATTTAATAAAACTTCATGTGACATCGGAGAAATTTACAATATTCAGCTCGGAATATACAAATCAGCCCTACCAAACCATCGTCGTCTAACTCAAATTTTGAATTGATTGTGGCAATGGAAGTCGAAGTGGTTGATCTGACGATTTCCTGCCGCCTGTGCCTGATACCTATCACAGGGAAAGCCATCGATCTGCACAGTGAGGAGTTGATGGCGCAACTGGAATTCATCTTCCTCGTGTCGGTAAGTACCTATTTCAATCTAACCATCTAGTTAATGTCAGCAGCCAATTACCTTCTAATTAAATTGTTGCAGTTTAAACAAAAGGATTGGTTCCCCCGAACAGTATGCCACGAGTGTCTGGCCCTAGTGACGACAACCTACGCCTTCGTACAGAAGGTCCGGGACAATCAATACTATTTGGAATCTTTGGACTTGTCCTATGCGGTTGACGCTGAACCTGTCGAAATCGAAGTTGGACAGAGTATGAAAATTGATACCGGCGATTTGGTCACTACTGAAAATGGGCTTTCGGAAGATCCATCAGAGGAGGACTGCAAAGAGGAACCGGTAACGGTTGATGAGTCTACCTCAGAGCCAGAAATGGAACTAAAGATTCCCAGGAAACCCCGAAAGCTTAGAAAGAAGTTAAGTCAAACGAAAGATGACGAACTCATTAGACAGTATTACAAGTTTCAGTGTGACCTCTGTTCAGAGGGGACTTCCAATTTCAACACTCTGTTAGGTCACTTTCGTGAGAAACACAAAGTGTCCGGTTACATCAAATGTTGCAACAAGAAGTTGTACCGGCGGTGTCGTCTGTTGGAACACATCTCCAAGCACCTTAATCCGGACACGTTCCGGTGTGAGATGTGCAACAAATCATACTCCTGTAAGACTAGCCTAGAGCTGCACAACATGCACCTTCACCTGCCGGAAACCGAGAAACCTTTCAAATGTACCAAATGCCCACGGTCCTTTGCCAAGGACTATCAGCTAAAATGTCACATCGTGCGGCACGTGGCCGTGGAATGCCCGAAGTGCGGGCGCATCATGTCTAGCCGGCTGTCGCTCAGGGACCATCTGATCAAAATGCACAGCGAAGTCGGTCAACGGTTGATGGTGTGCGATACCTGTGGGAAGGGTTTTCGCTCGAAGACGTCGTTTCAGAGACACGTGCTATTGCACCAGGGTGTGACGCAGGAGAACCGGATCCAGTGTAATCTGTGTTCGCGGTGGCTGATAAACAAGATGGGCCTGAAGAAGCACATCCGGACGCAGCATACCGAAGTGGGGGAGATCTTTGTTTGCGCGGACTGTGGCAAGATAGCACCGAATTCGGCGGCTCTGCAGCAGCATCGGAGGGTTGTCCATTCGGAGCAGAAGTTTGCCTGCGAGATCTGCGAGAAGAGCTTCAAACGGGCAATTGCGCTGAAGGTAAGGGATGGTGGTTGGGATTGGCAGTGGACATAGAGTGATACGAGTGGGATCGATTCTCTTTGCAGGAACATCGGGCTACCCATACGGGCGAGACGCTCTACTCGTGTAAGTTCTGCCCGATGACGTTCATATCGAATGCTAATATGTACACGCATCAGAAGAAAATCCACCCGAAACAGTGGGAGAAGACGCGGAAGGGTAAATTGAAGGAAGAAATAGGCAACGGACTAGGATTTTCAGCATCAACCACAGGGGCTTCATAGCTCGATTGTGTATTATAACGCAATCAATCACCCCATTATTAAGGAAGAACAGAATTAAACTATTTTCTCCCAGTTCTGTCGGATAATAAGCGCTCGAATGGGCTTACAAATAAATCACGCTGCTAGTATTTATTAGGCAAGTTTAATTTGACTCTAAAACCCCATGGCCCTCGTCGGTAAACTTAGCCGCCCTCCGCTTGGCCTGCATCCACTCCTCTGGATGTTTGTTCTTTTTGTGTGAGTACAAATTCCCATTCGAGTTCATCTCCATTCCGCAAAATTCGCACGAGTACAGCTTCTGACCCGTGTGGCTCGCGCGGTGTTCCTTCAAGTTGACATTCCGCTTGAACCGTTTCCCACAGATCTCGCACTCGAATTTGTCATCGACGTGCACTCGACCCTTGTGTGTGGTCAAAGATTTCTCGTTCGGGTAAACCTTGTGGCAAATGCCGCAGGTGACCTCCTTCGCCTGATGTATCTCGATCATGTGTCTTCGGAGTTGCTTCTTCCTGCTGATCCACGTGTGGCAGATCTCGCACCGGGCCCCGTCCTCTCGTTTCAGTCCCGTGTGCAACACACTGTGTGAATTCAGTGCTTCACGGGATTTGAAATCCTTACCGCAAACGTCGCAGATGAACTTTCTCTCGTCGTTGTGCACTCCCGACATGTGCGACTTCAAAGTGTACACATTCGAAAGACTCTTCTTACAAATCGGACACTCAACCCGGTCGTGCAACCGACGGTGCGTCCGGAGTATTTGTTCCGTTTGGAATGACCGATTGCATTTCTCGCATTTGAATTGTTTCTCTTCGCTGCTCGTGTGCTTCACTATGTGATGAACTTTCAGGGTATGCTTGTCGGGAAAACCCTTGCCACATTCGTTGCATTTGCAGGGCTTCAAATGAGTGTTGATGTGGAATAGCATTTTGTGTTTGAGGGAAAAACTTTTGTTGCAGCATTGCAGCACCGCTTGTGTGTCGTGAACCTTCTTTGCATGCGACTTCAGATGTTTCAAGGTTTCAAACGACTCCGAACACGTATCGCACTTCAGGGATAAAAAATCCTTGATTAGACGATCCTCGTCTGTTATTTCCACAGATATCTCATCCTCGATCGACAAAGACGATGCTGGCTCTTCCTCGGCCTCACTCTTCTCTTCAGCTGAAAGGTATTCATCAGCATACATCTCGACTTCCAAGTCCATCGTTTCGGTTTTGTGTTCGGGTGACTGTTCTTCCTTTTTCACTGGAGATTCGAACTCCTCGTATGACGATTCCAGGAATATCTCATTCTTCACCTGAGTGGGTGGAAGCGATAGCCGAAGCTGTTCTTGGTTGCATCGAACTGTTTCCATGAACGTGTAAAACTGGTTGACTCTTTTGGAACATTCCGAACACACCGCGGAGGGAAGTTGTTCATTTTCCTCAAACTAAAGCATTAGAACAATTTGACTTAGTTTTTTTTTTATTTTAAATTAACAAATCCGTGGAATTGCTTACCAAAAAGTTAGAAACTGTAGTCAATCTGGCACGGAATGTTTCATCGTCCATGGACGCTTCCGATGGTTTTTTGGATTCCAGGCAAAGCCGGCAAATTCGAATGGTTTTATCCATGGTTAATTTTTTTGAGTTTTATTGGAGAAAATCAAGTTGGTCAACGCACAGAATGACAGTTTCTCATTGTATATAGATCAGTGCACGGTCCCTAACCTCACTTTGTGCTCCCTATCATTTTGCTTCTGAGTAAAAGAGATAGCAACGAATGGGAGCCAAAACAAACCACCCAAAACTGTCAAAACTTACGGGTGAGAGAAGAGTGCGGCAAATCTTCGTGAACTGATCAATTATCCTCACAGGAGTATACGGCCAATGAGAACGACCCAAATTTGAGTTTAGTTCACTCATATTCGCAAATAGTGCAGGAATTCAGCGATGAGTAAATTTGCCTCATGTTTTCCTGTGAAAATTTTCGAAAATCTGCCGGAAATTGAGTAAAATTAACGAAAAACATGAGGCAAATTTACTCATCGTTGAGCTTGCACTTCGATGAGGAAACTAAACTCAAATTTGGGCACTCTCATTGGCCGTGCAAGTGACGGCGCCGATCAGCGTTGCCAGATATACCGATTTTCAAACTTGATACCGATATTGATGAATTATTTACGTTACGGTCGACCAGCAGATGGAAATGATTTGAAAATTATAATGACGTTTTGCTACCTGGCAAATCGTATGGAATATTTTTTAGTACTTCATCAGTTTTGTAATTGCAAATCTGGAAACTAGGTGTCGCATGGCCAGTTTTACCTCTGCGTAAATTCATCAATACAGATAAGGTTTCTCAGAATATCGATTTTTGAGTTTTAATAACGATTTATACCAATTTTTTAATAATCAAAATGATTACTGCCTGCCCGCGCTGAACCGTCAGAGGAAACTGTGAATACTCTATAATCACCAAGGAATCACCGAGGGCTAACACAAAAATTGCACTTGCAAGACAAACAAAACAGCTAGCTGTTTCTGTGGAAGGAACGTTTTTCCTCGAAAATTCTGGAAAAGGTATGAAAGAAATCAAATTATTTTCCCTAATGGATATCTATAATTTTAGCGAAATAAGTTTTTACCACATCTGGAGATTAGCTTCGCGTCGACCGAAGATCCTCCCGCACCGAACGGACATAATCGTTGAGGTAGTTGGGTAATATCCTGTTTCGGGCGTCCTGTACTGGTATTCTTGTACTATCAGTTGGTTTACCGATGGTCCCATTTGCTTTTTCATCTACAGGCTTATTCGTCTTATCAACTCCAGTATCGTTCGCGAACTTGCTCGTTTCAGTTTCGTGTGCGGAACTGTCGTCACGCCATTGGTGTACTCTTTTGGTTTGTGATACGTGCCGTTTTAGTACTACTCCATCCCCGTCATCGAGCACCAGGCTGCCGTTTTTCTCATGTACGACGGTGTACTTCTTAGGAAGAAAACGAGTCTCTCCTTTTGCACGATTGTGCCGTTCCACTATCACCGTGTGGCCCGGCTTCACTCTACATGGTTTTGCTCCGCGTCTTCGCGAGATTTTCCCAACAGTTTAGATTGCCGATCGGTACTTTCAAGAAGCTTCTCATCATACGACGCTTTCTCATGCTGCAGTAGCGGTAGTCCTCGTTTGATCTTGCGGCCCAGCATGACTTCCTCCGGTGGCACTTTGGTTACGCTGTGATTTGCTGCATTATGGGCATTGATCGCTTCCCGTAGCTCGTTAACGAAGTTGGTTTTGTTTGTAGAAGCTGTGGCCATTGCCTTGTTGACCACCTTCATGTAGGATTCTACCACCCCATTTTGCTGCGGGAACAACGGGGTTGAAAAAATCGTGGTTATTCCTCGCTAAGCGCAATATTGTTTGTATTCTACGCCATTGAATGGCGGACCATTATCTGATTTGATGATCTTAGGGTAGCCCTCCCTCTCGAAAACCTCTTCAAGTATCTTTTTCGTGGATTCGAAAGAGGTTGATTTTACTGGCTTTGCTATGAGATACCTGGATCTGTATTCAACGATTAGGAGTATCGAAATGCCACCAAACTTGACGTAGGGGCCATTGAAATCGATGGCTATTGTTTCCCACACTGCGTTTGGCACAAATACTCGTTCCATCGGTGTCGTCGTCTCCGGTTTTCCACTAATGGCACATGTTTTGCAGGACTCCACCCAATTTCGGACATCCTTCGAAATGCCAGGCCACCAAACATGCTGTCTGATAATACTTTTCATTTTAGCAGTTGTTGGATGACCTTCGTGGGCTACTTGTAGAGCTCTTTTGCGAAGTTTTTCCGGCATTACGGCACATCCGGTTTTGACTATTATTCCGTTCCGAATGGTCAAGTCATCCTTCACCGCCTTATACTTTCGCAAATCGATCGACCATTCTCCCGTCTGTAAGGCATGCATTACCTTTTTAAGCGTCTCATCGTGTTCTGTACGTTCCCTGACGTCGTGCTCAGTTAGAAATTCCATGGTATTTGCCTCTAGACATCCGATTTCCCAGGGACTTACGTCCTCTTCGAAGGGAGCGTCGTCGCCACAGTATAGTCTTGATGAACTATCAGCTATATTCTCACGGCCTCGTACGTACTCGACGTCATAACTGTATGGACTCAATCGAAGCGCCCAGTCATCAGCGCGAGTAAGGGCTCGTTTTGAATCCTCTCGTGACCGGTTCAGAATAAACGCCACTCCTTGGGCGTCAGTGCGCAATGTAAAATGTCTACCGAGGAGGTAGTACGAAAATTGTTCTACTGCCCAAACTGCACCTAACGCTTCACGCTGGTTTTGGGCGTACTTCCTCTCGGTAGGGGTCTATGCCTTTGAAGCGAAGCTGATTATTCGTGGATGACGAGTATCACTCTCCTGTACCAGCACCGCCCCCAGAGCTACCGGCGATGCATCGGTGTAAAGGATTGTTCTGTCGGTTTCGGAAAAATAACCGAGAGCCTTGGTGCATTCCATGATTCGCTGCTTTATGATGTTAAACGCTTTTCTTTGTTCTGGGCCCCACGACCAAATTTTTCCTGTAGTTGCTGCCCACAAAGGACTCGAAATATCGGCGAAGTTTGGTACGTACGGGCTGATGAACGACGCCAGACCAAGGAAGCTTCGAAGCTCGGATAGAGTAGCTGGCTCCCTGAAATTCTGAAAGCTTTTGATTTTCTCCTCATCGATGTGGAAGCCTTCTTCATCTAGTTCGTGTCCTAGAAACTTGATTTTTGGCTTGTCGTACTCACATTTGTCTTTATTGAGCGTTAGGTTATTTTCTTTCAAAATAAACAGGACCTTTGCAACGTATTTTCGAAGATCTTCCAGTGAACTAGCGAAAATCAAGATGTCGTCAATATAGAAAATAATGTTTTCAACATCTTTTAGTATCTGTACATCCCGTCCTCGGTCAAAAAGGTCGTTAAGTCTCTCGATTCATCTGACAAGGTTAGATGGTAAAAAGCGTTCTTCAGATCCAGTTTTGAAAAATACTTCGCCCCGTGTAGTCGCACTTTCATTTCTTGTATAAGGGGAAGCCGGAAGTATTCTCTACTTATCGCTCGGTTAGGGGCGCGCATGTTTACTACCAAGCGGAAATCGTTTTTCCCTTTTGAAACTGCGGACATTCCACTAATCCAGTTGGGTGCTGAAGTAACTTTCTCAATGATCCCACGTGTTTCCATTTCAAGAAGTCGGCGCTTTGCCCCTTCTCTGTACGCAGCTGGCACGTTGTAATATGCGTTCTTTACTGGTGTAATCGTGTTGTCTACGTTGAACTTGACTGTAACGCCTGGCATCGTCGGGAATTCCTTCACGTCTTCTGTTATTTCGCAAATATTGATTTGCAGTAGCCTTAAATCGCTAGCTGTCGATCGACCAAGAAGTGATCGGAGTCCCTTACGGATGACATGGAAAATCGCTGTAATGGGAGGGCTGCTACTATTTGGTACAACTATCTCAGCTCTAAACGTCCGTTCCACTGACAGCGGTTCTTTCGACCCGTATGCGAGAATTCCCTTATTCTTTTTGCTAACCATTTCCAGTTTTGCCTTGCCGGATTCAAAGTCGCGCTCTATGCGGTCCCAATCATTTCCGCATACGACGTTGACGTCAGCACCGGAGTCAATAAGAAAAGAAATCAAACTGGCTGACCCCAAACTGCAGTTAATCAAAACGTCTTCTAAGGATAATGCATTGATATGCTAGAAAGAACAAAACACATGGTGATCATCAATAAGTATATTATCACATTGATTATATAAAAGTTATGCATTTTTATTCTTTCAGTACCTGTTTGTCATCTTCACGTCCGTCATCATGGTCACTTGATACGTCCTCTCGCTTAAAACGGACTGCATTGACACGTCTGCTTCTGCAAGCTGCTGCGAAGTGCCCTAGCTTGCCACAATTGAGGCACTTCTTATCGAGTGCAGGGCATCGACCGTTCCTATGGAATAAAAGGTTGCACCGTGAACAGCGGGACCGTCGTCCTTGAGCATGATCGATCTGACGGCGTTTGGCAGGTGGATCACTCGTGGAGTTATCCAGATTCCTGCGTTTCTGGTTGCTACTGTTCGTTTTATTCTGGTGTTTTATTTGAAATACATGGTCGTTTGCAGGTTGTGTTGTCTCAGCCTCATATGCCTCGTCACGGGTAGCTGCCTGCACGATGAAATTCGTTTCGTGTCCGTACGTTCTGGATGCTTTGACTAATGCTTTGTTCCGTAGACCTTTAAGCAGCTGCGCTCTCACAAATCGGTCCTGGTCGTCATTGCTGTAACCACATAGCCTGACCTTGCACATTAGACGTGCATGAAATGCGACGGTGGATTCATTCTTTTCTTGCATCATGGACGAGAACGCTTCGTGTTCCGCCGCTGTGTCTGTCATTGATCGGAA